CAGCCTGGGCGACAGAGCGAGACTCCGTCTCAAAAAAAAAAATTAAGAAAATAGGTTTAGTTGGCGCGTGGTTCTACAGGCTTTACAGCAAGCACGGTGCTGGCATAGGCTCAGCTTCCAGGGATGCCTCAGGAAGCTTCCCATCATGGCGGAAATCAAAGGGGGAGCAGGCACGTCACATGGGGAAAAGAGGAGCGAGAGAGAGTAGGGGGAGGGAGGTGCCACACACTTTTTTTTTTCAAGATGGAGTTTCGCTATTGTTGCCCAGGCTGGAGTGCAATGGCGCGATCTCCGCTCACCGGAACCTCCGCCTCCCAGGTTCAAGCAATTCTCCTGCCTCAGCCTTCCCGAGTAGCTGGGATTACAGGAATGCGCCACCACGCCCGGGTAATTTTGTATTTTTAGTAGAGATGGGGTTTCTCCATGTTGGTCAGGCTGGTTTTGAACTCCGACCTCAGGTGATCCTCTCACCTTGGCCTCCCAAAGTGCTGGGATTACAGGCGTGAGCCACACGCCTGGCCACGACACACTCTTTTTTTTTTTTTTGAAACGGAGTCTCACTTTGTTGCCAGGCTGGAGTGCAGTGGCGCAATCTCGGCTCACTGCAACCTCTGCCTCCAGGGTTCAAATGATTCTCCTGCCTCAGTCTCCCAAGTAGCTGGGACCACAGGTGTGTGCCACCATGCCCAGCTACTTTTTTTTTTTTCGGTATTTTTAGTAGAGACATGGTTTCACCGTGTTAGCCAGGATAGTCTCAATCTCCTGACCTCGTGATCCGCCTGCCTCGGCCTCCCAAAGTGGCAGGATTACAGGCGTTAGCCACCTCGCCTGGCCCCACCACATACTTTTAAATGACCAGATATTGGCTAGGCGCGGTGGCTCATGCCTGTAATCTTAGCACTTTGAGAGGCCGAGGTGGGAGGATCATCTGAGGTCAGGAGTTGGAGACCAGCCTGGCCAACATGGTGAAACCTTATATCTACTAAAAATACCGGGTGTGGTGGTGGGAGCCTGTAATCCCAGCTACTTGGGAGGCTGAGGCAGGAGAATCGTTTGAACCCAGTAAGTGGAGGTTGCATTGAGCTAAGATCACGCCACTGCACTCCAGTCTGGGAGGCAGAGCAAGATTCCATCTCAAAAGAAAAAAAAAAAAAAAAAAAAAGGCCTGAACCAAAGCAATAGTAGTGGGAGTGGAATAAAGAGGAAGCATTTGAGAGGAAGAATTAATGTTAATCTCCTAAACACCTTTACTCAATGCTTCCTAGGAATGTGTTAGGGGATTGTGGGAATAAAGAGCTGAAGTAGCATTTGCTCCTGTCCTCAAGTACCTCAAATCCTATAGAAGCAGACCTAAAAATAAAAACATACATGCAGGGAAGGCCACATTTAGCATCACTGCAGCCAGTGTCACTGAGAGATCACTATGCTTGTGAAATCAGCAAATTAAGGCACCATACATTTCCAAGTGCCTCTGTCATTTACCCCAAGGGTCTTTTTTAAGTACCTAAATTGTTATTTTGGTTAAAACACACTACAGTATACATCTACACCTCACCAGTTTTTAAAGGCAGGGTAGTGAGGTTCAGACTGGGCCCATCTCTACCACTTGTCAACACATGATCTTGGGCAAGTTACCAAATTCTTTTAGCCCATGCTAACTATCACGTGAAGACGAATGAGACTGGAATGTTGGGGAGAGAGAGCATGATGGGGCTATAGGAGGGGGTATGATCAGATCCTGCAAGGCCATGTGAACTACCATAAAGGTTTTGGACTTTTCTTCTTTCTTTCTGCTTTTCTCTTTCTTCTTTCTCTTCTTTTCCTTCTTCTCCTTCTCCTTCTTCTCTTTCGTTTAGAGATGGGGTGTCACTGTCACCCATGCCAGAGTGCAGTGGCATGATTGTAGATCACTGGACTACAGGTGTGCACCGCCACCCCTGGCTTGGATTTAGTATTCTAAGTTCAATGGGTTGTAGTTTTTGTTCCAATTTATTATCACTTTTCAATTGGGATATAATGTCTACAAATAAATGCAAAAATCTTGCCCTGAGTTCAATTAGTTTGGACACTTGTATACGTCAATGTTATACCACCGAAAAGAAGATACAGAACATTTCCATCATCCCACAAAAGTCCCAACTGCTCCTTTCCTGTCAATTCTCCTTGTCTGCGGAACACTTAAGGGTGCTAAGCATATTATGTTTGCGGTGTTTTTTTTTTTTTTTAACTTAGAAGATGTGGTAATATATGTTTGCGTTCCCAAAGGATCACTCTGGCTGCTGTGCGGAGGACAGCAAGGCGGGTAAAGCACAGGCCAGGCGAGGGATAATCAGGCAGTATTGCACGGAGGTCGCCTAGCAACCAGAAAGCGCCGTCGGGAGCTGGGAAAACGCTCTGCTCCTGTGAGAGGAGGAGGCCCCGCCCCCTCCCCGCCCTCTCTCCGCCCCACGCAGTGCGCGGGTACACGCTCTGTCCGCTTCGGACAGACAGAGGCTTCTTATTGGTGGGTTTTCCGGAAGCGATGGATTCGGAATCTCGTCCGCAGCCACGCAAAACCGAGCGGCTGTGTGCGGTGCGTGGTGCGTGGTACGTGCGGCGGCACGTGGCGCGGGTGCGGGGCGTGGCGTGGCGGGGTCGCGCGGCGCGGGCGCGCACCCGGAGCTCTGAACAGAGAGTACCTCCTTCTGGCCTCGGTTTCCTCTAGTTGTAGTAGCGGAGCATGGCCGGGACCGGGCACCCGAGACCGCCCCGTGCAGCCTCACTGCCAGCCTGGGGGCCTCAGCTACCGCGACGGGACCAAGGGGCTCGGGGGATCCTCCCCGCCCCTGGCCCTGGTGCTTGACTGACCCTCCCGTTCCCAGAGCCCCCAGCGCAGACCGGGATGTTTGTCCTGGTGGAGATGGTGGACACGGTGCGGATCCCCCCTTGGCAGTTTGAGAGGAAGCTCAACGACTCCATTGCCGAGGAGCTGAACAAGAAGTTGGCCAACAAGGTACTGGGCCCACGGCTCGCGGGCAGGCCTTGGCGCGGGAGAGCCAGCGCCGCCCACCGGCCGCAGGCCTGGCCTCCGTCATGCCAAGCCCTGGCCGTGGGCAAGCGGCTTAATGTCTCAGAACTTCTGTTCACCGTGAAACAGGATGTTGAAGGGGATCAAAAGAAAATGGGCTTAAAAAAGGGAGTTGTAACTGGAAGTGTCAGACTCTACAATTCTAAATTACTTTGCAATTGCAGGCAAGTTACCCCCTCTGGGCCTCAGTTTCCATTTGTAAAATGGGGATAAAATGTTGCTGTCCTTCCAGCCATGCATTGGTTTTTTGTTGTTTTTGTTTTGTTTCGTTTCTTTTTTTTTTTTTTTCTTTCCCCGAGACGGAGTCTTGCTCTGTCGCCCAGGCTGGAGTGCAGTGGCGCAATCTCGGCTCACTGCAAACCTCCGCCTCCTGGGTTCAAGTAATTCTCCTGCCTCAGCCTCCCGAGTAGCTAGGACGACTACAGGCACGCGCCTCCATGCCCAGCTAATTTTTGTATTTGTATTTGTATTTAGTTTTATTTTTATTATTTACTTATTTATTTGAGATGGAGTCTCGCTCTGTCGCCCAGGCTGGAGTGCAGTGGCGCGATCTCGGCTCACTGCAAGCTCTGCCTTACGGATTCACGCCATTCTCCTGCCTCAGCCTCCCAAGTAGCTGGGACTACAGGGGCCCGCCACCACGTCCGGCCAATTTTTTTTGGATTTTTGGTAGAGACGGGGTTTCACCATGTTAGCCTGGTTGGTCTCGATCTCATGACCTCGTGATCCGCCGCCTCGGCCTCCAAAGTGCTGGGATTACAGGCGTGAGCCACCGTGCCCGGCCAATTTTTGTATTTTTAGTAGAGACGGGGTTTCTCCATGTGGCCAGGATGGTCTCGATCTCTTGATCTCCCCACCTTGGCCTCCCAAAGTGCTGTGATTACAAGTGTGAGCCACTGCTCTGGGCCAGTGCATTGTTTTTGTGAAGATGAACAGTTCTAGTAGTACAGAGTTAACTAACTGTCAGGGGGTTCATCCCTTCATTTTAGCAGCCAATATTTGTGCGCCATCTCTGCGCCGTGCCTATGTGCCTTAGTGCCAGCTGAGAGGTCCTCCCACTGCCATTTCTCTGGCAGTCCTCCCTTTCCAGGTATTCTGTGTCGCATCAGTCTTTCCATCTTAGACTTTTTCCTTTCCCTCTCTTTGAGAGCAGGGACTTATCTGTCTTCTTCCCTGAAGTATCCCCTCACTTAGCCAGAGCCTGGCACCAGTAGATGTTCCATAATTTTATGTTTTTTGTTTGTTTGTTTGTTTGTTTTTTAAACAGAGTCCCGCTCTTGTCGCCCAGGCTGGGGTGCAGTGGTGCAATCTTGGCTCACTGCAACCTCCACCTCCTGGGTTCAAGCTATTCTCCTACCTCAGCCTCTTGAGTAGCTGGGATTGCAGGTGCCCACCACCACGCCCGGCTAATTTTTGTACTTTTAGTAGAGACAGGGTTTCGCCATGTTGGCCAGGCTGGTCTCAAACTCCTGACCTCAGGTGATCTGCCTGCCTCAGCCTCCCATAGTGCTGGGATTACAGGCGTGAGCCACTGCGCCCAGCCATTTGTCTGTTGAATGAAACAGAGGCAAGGCTCTGAGCTATAGTGTGCTGGGAAAAGCAGATATGAATGAGAGGGGTCCATAGTTGAGGGTGTGGTGACGAATTGAGGTAAATGCTATGAGGGACAGGTGTTCACACACCTGTGGGAACAAAGGACCATCCCCTGGAATGAGGGAACCTGCGGCTTTGGTGAGGAGGTGGGGTTGGAACTGAGATCTGATGGTGAAGTAGAGCCAACCAGAGGATTCCTTTCTGGGGTGGGAGGGGACTGGGTGGAGAGAAGAGCCCTGAAGGCAGGAACTGGCATGTGCACAGGCCCTGTGAAGAAGGAATACAGACAGGGCGCGGTGGCTCACACCTGTAATCCCAGCACTTTGAGAGGTTGAGGCTGGTGGATCACCCGAGGTCAGGAGTTCGAGACTGGCTTGTCCAACATGGTGAAACCCCATCTCTACTAAAAATACAAAAAGTAGCTGTAGCTGGGCATGGTGGCGGGCGCCTGTAATCCCAGCTACTTGAGAGGCAGAGGGAGGAGAATCACTTGAACCCAGGAGGCGGAGGTTGCAGTGAACTGAAATTGTGCCATTGCCCTCCAGCCTGGGTGACAAGAGTGAAACTTTGCCTCAAAAAAAAAAAGAAAAAAAGAAAGAAAGAAGAAGGGGTACAACACCCACCATGGTGTGGAAGAGGCTGGTGTGGCTTGGGCAGAGGGAAAGGTAGGCTGGAAAGGTGGGTGGGGGCCAGGCCACACAGCCCTGTAGGATGAGGTACTGGTCTTTATCCGTGGAGCATCAGGAGGTGATGGACTGAGAAGGAGCCAGAAAGAGGAAGCTCAGCTTCCTGAGGCAGTCCCTTCAGAAGAGGTGAGGTTGATTTGAAGGTTGTTAGGTGGTGAAGGGAACTCATGGAGTCTTTAAGTGGATGGCTGCTAGTTACTTGGTGAGGTTGAAGGTGAGGGTCTGTTGGGGGATGAGGTACGGACCTTGTGGAGAGAGAAGGGGTAGAAAGTCCAAGAAGGGAATGGAGTCCCTTTGGAGTACAGGTCCTGTTGGGACAAGTCTCATAGTAGTCAGTTAGATGAATCGTTTGAGAGGAGGCCCAAACAGAAATCCATGGTCTGACAAAGGGCATGGATCTTGTGGCCTTATCTTGGTGAGGTTTGGCCACAACTCTGAGTTCTCTGAGCTTCTTGCTAATTCTTGGACAGTTCCTGCAAGGGTTCTAAGTGGGGGTGATGACATGGTGGCAGATAAGCAGACACTAAGTAGCCAGTTGTTTGAAACACCATGGTGTGGGGAGGGGGCATGGGATTTCTGCACATTCTTGGGGCCTAGGTCATGTGTCCCTCTGCCAGCTGCAGTCCCTGTGGCTGCATCTGTGTGTCTAAGATATTGTGAGCACAATGGTTCTGACGCTTACTAAACTATGAGCTCTGGCATTGGCTTTGGGATGTCGGAGACTGCACGTTTAGCTAGCATTCCTGTCACTGGTCCTCACTAGTAATAACAAAGATCCTCAATGATGATTGTTTCAGCACACGAGCCAGGCACTAGGCTAGGGGCTTCACATCTGTTATCTCTGTTTATTTTATAACCCTGCCGCCTGGTATTTCCCATTCTGTGATGGGGAGACTGAGGCTCAGAGAGGTGAAGTGACCCTCTTGGCAGTCACACAGTGGGTGGTAGAGTTGGCCTTGGAACCTGGACCTGTTTTGTCACCCGAGGCCCTGCTCCTTCCAGATCTCTGCATCGTTCTGAGGTTCCTTACCCTGGTTTCCTCCACAAACTCATTTTCACCTGAAAAAGGAGATAATCATGGCTTGCTTGCGGTCGTGAGGGGTTCAGACTGCCTGGGAGCTGGGCCTGTGGTCACTCTGTGTCCATGTGTACTTGTGTGTCTATGTTTGTATGCATGCAGGTCGTGTACAACGTGGGACTCTGCATATGTCTGTTTGATATCACCAAACTGGAGGATGCCTATGTATTCCCTGGGGATGGCGCATCACACACCAAAGGTGGGTATCTTCTGTCCCTGGGGCATTGGGTTTCTTGGGGCTCAGTTTTCTGTAGCAAAAGTTCAAGCCAAAGCCAGGTTCAGTGGTGTGTGCCTGTAAGGCTGAGGGCGGAAGGATCTCTTGAGCCACAGAGTTCAAGGCCAGTCTGGGCAACATAGTAAGACCCTGTCTTTAAATAAATAAATAAATAAATAAATAAATAAATAAAATATTTAAAAATTTTAAAAGGTTAAAGCCAAAGAGATGGCCAGAGGGTGCTGGGAGTCCTGGAGGTTGAGAGACCTGGGGCCTCATCCTGAATTGGCCAGGAATTGACCCGGTGACAGCGGCAGACTTATCTGTTCTGGGCCTCTGTTTCCTCATCTGTGAGGCCTGGGATGTGGACTAGGTGGTTCTCAAGGCCTCTTCAGCTCTGACATCATAGCTCTATGTCTGTACCCTTTTGGTCTCATTGCTACTGAACCCTGCACCTCGTCCATTCCTCGGACTGCCCACTGCCTGTGGAGAGCAGACGGAAGGGGGATCAGCAGGCTGGCTGTGGGAGGGGACTTCGATAGTAGGATACAGTAAGTAAGAGTGTGGTCTCGAGATTCAAAGCTGAACTCTGCCTCTTAATAGCTGTGTGTCCTGGCAGAATATGTCATGGCTCTGTGCCTCTGCTTCCTCATCTGTCAGGTGCAGTTCAGGATAGATTTTATATTCTAAGACTGTTGTGAGGATTAAGGAGTTAATACATGAAAGCTCTTAGGACCGAGCCTTAGCACCTAGCGAGCACTCAGTGACTTATCAGCTTGGATTGTTTCTCCCTATTCTGTGGGTCAGTTGGGTGGTTTTCCTCTGGGCTGGCTGGCCTGGGGCTGGACGATCTAGGATGGTCTCACATTCTGAAGGTTGGCAGATTGGTTGGTTACTGGGAGCCTGGGCTGGGCTGGCCCATCTCTGCCCCACATGGTCTCATCTTTCAGTAGGCCAGGCTGGGCTTGGCGGTTTTAAGGTTCCAAAGTTCAGTGCATAAGTACTTCTCAAGCCTCTGCTTCCATCCCATTGGCTAGGGTGAGGGTATGGAGAAATCGACTTCACCTCTGGGTGGGAGAAAGTGCAGTTACATTGCAAAGGGGTGTGCATCCAAGGATGGGAGGGTGATTACCAGATCCTGGAAAGAGGGAGGAGTAGAGAGAGGACCACGCCGAGAGGAGTGGGGACCAGCAGTCAAGGGAGGTGCTGAGCCCCGGGAGAGGGGCATTCTTCATTCTCATGTCTGGACCAAGCCAGTGTAGAAGACAGTGAGAGGCCCATTGAGAGGGTTCAGGCTCCCAGAGCGCAGGCACCGAGCCTGCCATCCCTTGGACACTCAGAAGCACAGTTCTCAGCCTGCCCCAAGCCTCCTGAGTCAGAATCTTGGGGGATGGGCCCAAATACTTTTTTTTCTCAGACGGAGTCTTGCACTGTTGCCCAGGCTGGAGTGCAGTGGTGCGATCTCGGCTCGCTGCAAGCTCTGCCTCCTGGGTTCACGCCGTTCTCCTGACTCAGCCTCTTGAGTAGCTGGGACTACAGGCACCCACCACCACGCCTGGCTAAGTTTTTGTAATTTTAGTAGAGACGGGGTTTCACCGTGTTAGCCAGGATGGTCTCGATCTCCTGACCTCGTGATCCGCCCGCCTCAGCCTCCCGGAGTGCTGGGATTATAGGCATGAGCCACTGCCCCCGGCCCCAAAATGCTTTCTAATGAAGCTGGAGACACCCTATATTTTGTAATGATTTTTTTTTTTTTTAAGTAAGACGGAGTCTCACTCTGTCGCCCAGGCTGGAGTGCAGTGGCGCGATCTTGACTTACTGCAACCTCCACCTCCTGGCATCAAGTGATTCTCCTGCCTCAGCCTCCTGAGTAGCTGGGATTGCAGGCATGCACCATCATACCTGGCTAATTTTTGTATTTTTAGTAGAGACGGGGTTTCACAATGTTGATCAGGCTGGTCTCGAACTCCTGACCTCGTGATCCGCCCACCTCGGCCTCCCGGAGTGCTGGGATTATAGGCATGAGCCACTGCCCCCGGCCCCAAAGGCTGTTTTACAACAAGGTGCCAGGTGGTTGTCACATGAGCCTGTGATGGATAAGCCCTGTGGTAGTCCATACCGGTCAGCCTCTCAGCACAGAGATGCCAGAACATTCCAGAGTATGCTGTGAGACTGCCTGGTGTCTGTGTCCAGCCATTCAGCGAATTAATTAGTTCACATAGATGTTACCATGCTACGCTGAGAGGCCAGGAACAAAGACGAGGCTAGATCCTCTCTTCCCGTTATTGGACATAATGGCAAGCTTTTCATAGCAGAGAAACTAACACTGTGATCGCCTCAAACAAACTCACGTAGGCGGCTCTGCGTTAACTAGAAGAGCGAGGCCCTCTTTAAAAACAACTGAGCCAAGTCATACCTCGCACATTTACGAGAACAGCGCGCCTTGGGTTGTCCAGGAGAGCAAACAAAGTCGAAAAATACGGACTAGACATGCAAGAACTAATGCGAGAACAAAAGTCACACAGTAAACTCAAAGTCCTGTTGCGCGGAACTCTCTGCCTGAATTCCCAGAACTCATTCTGTAACGCCAAGAGTGTGATATCCCCTGACCGCGCTCACAGCGAATATCACTCATAAAGACCCCATGATCTCTCGGGCCACCCATTCAACAAAAATTCGCCTCTCTCTAATCTTAACAATAAGACAAACAAAAAACAAGCCCAGCCATCTACCTTTTGTCTGTGGCACATTCACACCTTGTAAACTTACCTCTCATGCAGCTTGGTGGAGGGCTCGCAGTTGCGCGGATCATGAGTGAAATACTAAGTCAGTCGAGACCTGCAACCCTGACAACATGTAACACCTATCTTTACTAAAAAATAACAACTTTCGCCAAGCGCACGCGTGCTCAGGCCTGTAATTCTCCCCGCACTATGGGAGAACAATGACCAAGAACCATGAATCAGATATCAACCCGATTGGAGCCCGGGCGCGAGACAGCCAGGGTAATCAACCCCATGCATGAGGTTCCAAGCATGAAAAATCAAACAACCAACACCTACGCGCGTACATCAGTTGTAAAGTAGTCCGGGTGCCACCCAGTCTAGCCTATCCCGGCTACCTACGAAAAATACGAGGCTGAGGCGGAGAATGTGTAACACAAAAGGATTGTCGAGGATAGTTGCAGTGGAGACTGAGATTCCACCACTTGCAGCCGTGCGTCGCAGAGCTACGGCTGGCGCCGGTACGAAGTCCCGGACGTACAACTCTGGAGAGGCTGAGCACGGTAGAATGGCGTGAACCCGCAGAGGGCGGAGCTTGCGTGAGCTGAGATCCGGCCACTGCATCCCCAGCACTGGGTGCGACAGAATGCAGACTCTGTCCTCAAAGAAAAAAACAACAATTAGCTGGTTAGGACACAGTGCTCTGCGTCATCCCAGCTACTCAGAGAGCTTGAGGCAGGAGAATCTGCTTGAACCTGGGCAGAGGTTGCAGTGAACCGAGACTTGTGCCGCTGCACTCCAGGCTAGGCGACAGGGCAAGACTGCGTCTCAAAAAAAAAACCAAATTAGCCAGGTATGGTGGTGTGCGTGCTGGTAATCTCAGCTCCCTGGGAGGTGGAGGTGGAGGCAGGAGAATCGCTTGAACCCATGAGGCCAAGAACACGCCACTGCACTCCAGTTTGGGTGACAGAGAGAGACTCTGTCTCAAAAAAAAAAAAAAATGTTGGAGGAAATTCTGTCTATTCAATTGGAAGATTTCTACTGCTGACTTTTATTAGCCCCCACCCTCATCTCTCCTGGGTCTCTGTTTTCTTGGGAATCAGGTGGGAGGCATGGAGTGATCACAAGGACCTAGATTTGAATTAATTCTGGCTCTGGCCTCCTGGATGGGGACCTTGGGTGGGTACCTCCGCCTCTCTCAGCCTGAGTTTCCTCCTCTGTACAATGGGGTTAACCCTGCAGCTATAAAACTCCCGTTGAGCACCATGCAGGGTGAGCTGTGATTTTTGTTGTAGGAACCAATTGCCATGCTTTGAGGCTGACGCCTGACCCCAGGCCCTGTTCCCACTGCTCCCACTCCTGCAACCCTGCCGCCTCACTCAGGGCTGTCACCAAGCCAGTGCTGGAAGGGCTCAGCACCAGGTCATGCTGTGCCTTCACCTTTGTTCAGAGAAATATTTATTTGCTTGGGCCTTGGGAGCGGTTGCTCTACCTCTCTGAGACTCGGTTTCCCTATCTGTGCACACAGTATAATGACAGTAATAGAACCTTCCTCCCTCATTAAATATCTGTGAGGAGTCAACGAGCAAATCTGAGCGAAGCTTTGGTCTAGTGCCAGGCACGTAGGGCGTGCTCACAGATGATGGCCTTTGTGGCATGGGACCCTGACCCCCATTGGCTAAGTCTACCCCTCGTTATTTGGTGCCAGCCCCTGTTCTCCACACCCTCCCAGCCTGGGACCTGCTGTACCCTGCCCCCGCCTGCCCCATTCTGATCGGGGGCCCTGCTCTCAGCTCCAGAGCAGTGCTCCTTTGTGGCCACCTTTAGTTATTTATTTTTTAACTTTTTTTTTTTTTTTTTGAGACGGAGTCTCACTCTGTCGCCTGGGCTGGAGAGCAGTGGCGCCATCTCTGCTCACTGCAAGCTCCGCCTCCCGGGTTCACGCCATTCTTCTGCCTCAGCCTCCCTAGAAGCTGGGACTACAGGCGCCCACCACCATGCCTGGCTAATGTTTTGTATTTTCAGTAGAGACGGGGTTTCACCGTATTAGCCAGGATGGTCTCGATCTCCTGACCTCGTGATCTGCCTGCCTCGGCTTCCCAAAGTGCTGGGATTACAGGCGTGAGCCACCACGCCCAGCCTATTTTTTAACATTTTAAAATATTTTATTGATTTGCAAATCAGGCAGCTTCCTCAGCCAGAGTCGGTGCAGAGACACCCCCCACCTTTTTTTCTTTTCTTTTTTTTTGAGACAGAGTCTTCTCTATTGCCCAGGCTGGAGTGCAGTGGCACGATCTTGGCTCACTGCAACCTCTCTGCCTCCCGGGTTCAAGCCATTCTCCTGCCTCAGCCTCCCGAGTAGCCGAGATTACAGGTGCCCACCACCACACCTAGCTAAATTTTGTATTTGTAGTAGAAATGGGGTTTCACCATGTTCGCCAGGATAGTCTTGAACTCCTGACCTCAGGCAATCGGCCTGCCTTGGCTTCCCAAAGTGTTGGGATTATAGGCGTGAGCCACCATGCCTGGCCTGTTTTTGTTTTTTTGTTTTTTTTGCCTTTTTTAACAGGTTTATCATTTGTTTCATTTTTTTCTTTCTTTTTTTTTGTTTCATTTTTTTCTATTGTAAAATATACATAACATGAAATTTACCAATTTAAACATTTTAAGTGTACAGGTCAGTGGCATTAGGCACATTCATATTCTTGTTTTATTTTTTTTGAGACGGAGTCTTGCTCTGTCGCCCAGGCTAGAGTGCAGTGGTGCCATCTCGGCTCACTGCCAGCTCCGCCTCCCGGGTTCACGCCATTCTCCTGCCTCAGCCTCCCAAGTAGCTGGGACTACAGGCGCCGGCCACCACGCCCAGCTAATTATTTTTTGTATTTTTAGTAGAGATGGGGTTTCATCGTGTTAGCCAGGATGGTCTCAATCTCCTGACCTTGTGATCCTCCTGCCTCAGCCTCCCAGAGTGCTGGGATTACAGGCGTGAACCACTGCACTCGGCCCACCTCCAGAACTTTTTCATAGGGCAGATGTGGCGGCTCGTGCCTGTAATCCCAGCACTTTGGGAGTCTGATCACTTGAACCCAGGAGTTTGAGACTAGCCTGGGCAATATGGTAAAACCCTGTCTCTAAAAAAATGCAAAAATCAGCTGAGCATGGTGGTGGGCACCTGTAATCGCAGCTACTCAGGAGGCTGAGGCAGAGAATCGCTTGAACCCGGGAGGCGGAGGTTGCAGTGAGCCAGGATCGCGCCATTGCACTCCAGCCTGGAAAAAAAGAGCGAAACTCCATCTCAAATAAATAAATAAATACAAAAAATGAGTTGGGCATGATGACATGTTCCTGTAGTCTCAGCTACTTGAGAGGTTGAGACGGGAGGATCACTTGTTGCACTCCAACCTGGGCGACAGTGAAACTCTGTCTCAACAAAAAAACACAACAACAAAAAAACTTTTTCATCATCCCAGACTGGAGCTCCTTAGCCATTTAACACTAATTCCCCATTGCCCACCCCGCCAGCACCTGGAAACCACTGTGCTACTTTTTTAAAAAAATTTTTTGAAGGCAGTGACAGGGTCACTCACTGCAACCTCTGCCTCCTAGGTTCAAATAATTCTGGTACCTCAGCCTTCTGAGTAGCTGGGATTACAGGTGCCTACCACCATGCCCAGCTTTTTTTTTTTTTTTTTTTTTGAGAATGCAGTCTCGCTTTGTCACCCAAGGTGGAGTACAGTGGTTCGATCTCAGCTCACTGCCAACCTCGGCCTCCCGGGTTCAAGTGATTCTCCTGCCTCCGCCTCCCCAGTTAGCCTGGGATTACGGCATGCCAGCATGGCCCAGCTAATTATTTTAATTTTAGTAGAGACGTGGCGGTTTCTCCATGTTGGTCAGGCTGGTGCTGAACTCCTCACCTCAGGTGGTCCGCCTGCCTTTGGCCTCGAAAGTACTGGGATTACAGGCATGAGCCACCATGCCAGGCCTGCTAGCTAATAATTTTTGGGTATATTATTTTTTTTTGGAGATGGAGTCTCGCTCAGTCGCCCAGACCTGGAGTTCAGTGGCGCGATCTCGGCTCACTGCAAGCTCCACCTGCCGCGTTCATGCCATTCCTCCTGCTTCAGCCTCCCAAGCAGCTGGGAATACCAGGCACCTGCCGCCAACGCCCGGCTAATTTTTTGCATTTTTAGTAGAGACGAGGTTTCACCGTGTTAGCTAGGGATGGGCTCAATCTCCTGACCTCATGATCCGCCCGCCTCGGCCTCCCCAAAGTGCTGGATTACAGGCATGAACCATCACCTCAGCTTCCCTTCCTCTTGATGGTTCTTAGACTCATCCCTTTTTTTTTTTGAACGGAGTCTCGCTCTGTCGCCGGGCTGGAGTGCAGTGGCGTGATCTCGGCTCACTGCAAGCTCCACCTTCCCAGGTTCACACCATTCTCCTGCCTCAGCCTCCCGAGTAGCGGGACTCTACAGGCGCCCCGCCACCGCGCCCGGCTAATTTTTTTGTATTTTTAGTTCAGATGGAGTTTCACTGTGTTAGCCAGGATGGTCTTGATCTCCTGACCTCGTGATCTGCCCTCCTCAGCCTCCCAAAGTGCAGGGATTACAGGCGTGAGCCACTGTGCCCATCTTCAAACCCTGCTTTCTTTACCAGTTGCTTCTGCCCTTTTTAGGAGCTGAAGGAGAGCCTGAAGGGAGGTTGAAATTGACTTTGGAGCCACTGATGGCTCAGAGTCTGGGCTCAGGTGTGAGTAACCTGGCAGTTTTGGGAGTGCCCAATTCTAGGACAGCTGCTGCTGGCACCTTGTGGGGGCCATGCTGTGAACTTGCAGGAGACAAGGGGAGGGTCTGGGGCCTGCAGGGGGATGTGGCATGGAGCAGCCACACAGGCCCCCGGGTGTGCTGGCACCTGAGGGTGACATGGGAGTGCGCTGGGGCCCCAGTCAGCGTCACTGACGGGCTTTCTTCATTTCCAGTCCATTTTCGCTACGTGGTGTTTCATCCATTCCTAGACGAGATTCTGATTGGGAAGATCAAAGGCTGCAGCCCAGAAGGAGTGCACGGTAACAGTGGCCCTGATGCCTCAGACAAGACTTGGGACCACTGTGGGGGCAGGAGGTCTGTGCCCATCCACATGGTCAGGGGAGGGCTCAGGTGTTGAGGCTGAACCTTCCCCGTGGTGTCAGAGAAGCTTGCCCACCCTCCCTCTCATGTGTTGTGTGAGGACCTCCGTCAGCAGTGAGGTTTCACTGTCAGGCCATCACTCTGGGCTTCAGGGTAGGCACTGAAGCTGGTGGAAGTGACTGGGAGTCTTCAGCGCCCACTGGTCACTGTTGTGTGCAGGGGTTTTGGGGACTAGGTGCTCCGGGCTTTGCCCAGGGCTGCTCGGCTGTGTGGGTGGTGTAGGCAGAGGCATTAGGCGGGGAAGGGGCCTAGTTTTCCATAATGACATCCACCTCGTGAGCAGCCCAGGGCAGGGCTTGCCTGTCAAGCATCAGACCCTGCAATGTTTGGTGTCTCCTGGGAACCCTCATCTCAGGCCGTCACCTGCTTCCTTCCTTCCAGTCTCTCTAGGCTTCTTCGATGACATTCTCATCCCCCCAGAGTCACTGCAGCAGCCAGCCAAGTTGTATCCTCCCAAGGTTAAAGTGGTTTGTCACAGAGGAGCTCAGGCCTCTCCAAAGGAAGGTCCCCACTCTTTAGGGTGGCCTTTGGGTCCTGTAACCTGATGCCACTGGCCTCCGTGCCTGCCCCCAGCCTGTGCTTTTGCTCCAGAGGCACCAGCCTGTCTGTGCCTCCCATTCAGGGAGTGAAGTGATGCCCATGTGCCTGTCTTTGTCGGGGCTGTCAGGCTTGGCTGTCTGGGTTGTACACTGCACACCATTAGAGCTGTGGTGTCCCGGGGGACACCATTCATTTCTGGTTCACTTTGCTTAGGTTTTCCCTGCAGCAATCATCTTAAAGATCACTTGCCCTGGAGGCTTACGCTGGTCCCTGGGACGTGAGGCCTTGCCTGTGTGCTGGGTCATGGGCTGAGATGTGTTCCTTCTGGGCCTCCGTTGTCCCTGTCCCACCCCTCACCTTGCTGTACTGGGGTTGTCTGTTTCTGTGGGGCTATCCATGAATCTGAGACTCCTCACTAGGAAGGACTCTGATGTGTCACAGCTGTACTCACGGTGCACAGCACGGGACCTGGCACAGAGGCAGGACCCAACAGTGGGACTGCCACCAGAGAACCCATGGCTCCCCTGTGTGGGCTTTGCTGGGGGCGATGGAGGGCCAAGGGGGGCTGCCCTGGCTGGGTGGCCGCACGGCTCTGGGTCTGTGTGTGACTCCAGGATGTGTTAGAAAACCTGGCGCAGCGCGGCTGGTTCTCTCACCAGCTGTCATCCAACTGGGTAGGTGACCTCCCATCCCACTACATCCTCTTGGAAACGGCAAGTCCTTGGGTGCCCATCAGCCTGTTGCAAGGCTTTGATGAAAAGGGTATGTGGGGCCCCGTGGCAGGAGGCCCAGGTTGCTCTTGTCTTAAGAGGTGGGACTTGGACCATGTCTCGTCCCCTCCTGCTCTGGTGCTCTGAGATCCATGTGCGTCTGGCCGTGGTGTCTGACTGGGGGCCCTGTGTTCCCCATCCTCGGTCCTAGCATCCAAGAGCGCTTGCTCTTCGCTGTTTGGCCCAGGCCTTGCACATGGGGCTGGGACCTGCTTTTGCTGTGACTTCCCAGCCACAGTGATCTCACCCTGGGATTGGTTTTTCCTGGGGTCGGGGGGTGCTGAGGGAAGCCCCTCCCACGATCTGGTTGCTGCCTTGACCCTGGACCCTCTCAGCGACGAAGCGGAGCAGGTGTGGGTGTGGGAGTATGAGACGGAGGAAGGAGCGCATGACCTCTACATGGACACCGGCGAGGAGATCCGCTTCCGGGTGGTGGACGAGAGCTTTGTTGACACGTCCCCCACGGGGCCCAGCTCAGCAGATGCCACCACTTCCAGTGAGGAGCTGCCAAAGAAGGAGGCTCCATACACGCTTGTGGTGAGTGGCCCTGGTGGCACTGAAACCACCATGGAGGCGGGAGAGCCGGAGTGCAGGGCTGGAGGCCGTGTCCTTTGGGTTCTGCTCTGGGATCTCCCCCAGCAGGTCAGGGATCCTGTTGCGGGGGCCTTGGCTGGTCACTTCTCCCTGGAGAGCCTGGGTTTCTGTCGGCCAGGGCTGTGAGGCAATAAAGGTACATGGCTGCTGGTGGGGTGGGCAAGTCAGCTTGCAAGGGGGACAGAGCTCATGCTGGACACGACCAATGATAAAGAGGCTTTGAGGCCAGGTGCAGTGGCTCATATCTGTAACCCCAGCACTTTGGGAGGCCAAAGTGGGAGGATTGCTTGAGGCCAGGAGTTTGAGACCAGCCTGGCTAACAAAGTGAGAGCTTGTCTCTACAAAAATCAATGAGCAGGGCATGGTGGTGTGCCCTGTGGTCCCAGCTACTTGGGAGGCTGAGGTGGGAGGATCCCTTGAGCCCAGGAGTTCAAGGTTGTGCCACTGCATTACAGCTTGGGCAACAGAATGAGACGCTGTCTTTAAAAAACTGGGGGTAGGGAGGCGTTTGAGGGAGAAAGAAATCAAGGAAGGGGTTTGGGAGAGATCAAAGCCCTGAGATTAAAGGTAGGACTGCTGGGTGTGGTGGCTCATGCCTGTAATCCCAGCACTTTGGGAGGCCGAGGCTTGCGGATCACAAGGTCAGAAGATCAAGACCATCCTGGCTAACACAGTGAAACCCCATCTCTACTAAAAATACAAAAGATTAGCTGGGTGTGGGTGGCAGGCACCTGTAGTCCCACCTTCTGGGGAGGCTGAGGCAGGACAATGGCATGAACCCGGGAGGCAGAGGTTGCAGTGAGCCGGGATCGCGCCACTGCACTCCAGCTCAGGTGACAGTGCGAGACTCCGTTTCAAAAAATAAAAATACAAATAAATAAATAAATAGGTAGGGCTCCCTGTAGGAGCAGCATTAAAACAGTGAAATAAAAGGGAGGGCTCCAGGGAAGAGTGGCCCTCAAGGCTGCTCCCTGTTGGATGTGTCTGGAGCATGGGCCTCATGTTTGCTCAGCCTTCCTGCCAGTTAGAACCTGGGTGGCCCTGGAGGGCAGGCCTGAGGGTGAGGAAGGGTCCCTGACCCTGTCAGGGCCTGGGGTCCCTGGAGAGGGGTCTGCGCCCTGCATGCTGCGTTCCCATCAGGAGCACTGCTGTGGCTCCCACGTCTCTCCAGAGCCTCTGGGCTGCCGTGTGCTGCTCCTCCACTTTGCCTGTGCTGGGCCTGCTGGGCTCCCCTCACCTCCCGTCCAGGTTGGTTCAAGCCAGCGTGTCAGTGAAATGTGCGTGTTCTTTCTCTATCCCTGGCAGGGATCCATCAGTGAGCCAGGCCTGGGCCTTCTCTCCTGGTGGACCAGCAACTAGCCCTGGGGCTGGACAGTGGACCCTACCAGCCTGCAGGAAGGTGCTACGGCAGTCTGTGAAGACAAGAGCAGCTAAGGCTGATGCTAACAGCAGCTGAGGCTAATGTGTCTCGAGCTGGACAGTGGGGCAGGGCCAGGAGTGCCCACCAGCTTGCCCCCCTCCTCCACCATCTAGGCCCTGCTCCTCCCCCCGGAGCTTCTCAAGTTGCTGCTTTCAGTGACAGCAAAGCCATTTAATAAACAATGGCAGCATCAGAAGGGAAGGGGCCACCCTTGTCTCAATGGCCAGTGTTATGATCTGAGGTCACTCAGTTCCTGTCGCTGGGACAGCATGGCCTCTCTTACCGCAGAGATGGGCTCCCCCAACCCCCACCAGGTGGCAGCACGTGGGGGCTGTGAGCTCTGGGCTGCCCCAGGCTGGCCGAGCCTGGTGGAGCCATAAAGTACATAGGGAGTAAGGCTGGCTTGCCTGGGGTGGCTGCTTTGGGCACTGGAAGCTGCCAGTTGGAATTGAGTGGGCATGAAGGGGAGGCACCTTCCCACCAGCTTGTGGAAAAAGGTGGGGTAGCCCCTGAGCTCTAGGAGACCAGTTCCTGATCAAAACAGTGGAGGCTCTGGGCTTTGCTGGTACCCCCTACCCAAAATTCATGACACAAGACAGCAGCAAACCTGGGACCACCTGTTCCTCAGATCTCAGCTATTGCCATGAGCACCTTGTGGGACTGCTGGTAACACCCCAGCTCTGGGCCCACAGCGTTTCTTCAGCAGCACGGCTTCGCAGGGTTCCTCCTGCCCCTCTGCCAACACCAGGACGCTTGCCTTACAGTAAGTTTTGTCCTGGTGATGGGGCCTCCATGGAACCTGCCTCCTGCCCTGGCCTCTTCGGCTCTCACAGGACCCCCAAGTGTGGAGGTGCTGGCTGGTGGTGTCAGCTGATGCCACTCCCTTTCCAGATGGCCTCATCTGCTATTGTGCCCACCCTCAGTGTTTAGAGGGCTACATGAGGCCATGCCTGGCATATCAGTGCCCAGGGAAGATGGAGAGTGAAGGCCACTCTCTGGGAGACTCAATTCTGGCCCAGCAGGGAAGCTACAGGAACATGGGGGACAGGGCTGCTCTGCAGGTGGGGTGGGGTGGGAGGTGACAGGAGAACATTTCTGCCACACCTCAGGTCTCCTTCACCGCAGTGATGGATCCAACTGTGGCTGTGGCTGTCGGGCCTCCACTGACCTTGACTGAAAAGACCCTTCCTGGACCCTGAAGCTGATAACAAACGGCACAGACACCAATCACTCACTCATAGAACAGTCACTGGTTTTGGATTCTTGTTTTCCTTGCAAGAACAAAAGGTTCTCTAGAATCCTTCAGCCAACGAAATGATCAGGCAGGAGAAAAACTTTAGATGGGAGTGTTGTCATCAAAAATAAATACAGTTGCATGGATCTGCTTAAGATCTGAACCAAACTAAAAATAGGAAGACAGGGGCTAAAAAGTTGTTTTAAGAACCCCCCCACCACAACCACAGTCACTCCGTGGGCTGAGCAGGGAGCAGGAAGCATGTCTGGTCACACCATCTTGGAATAAGAAGCCATGACTGGATGCATCGGATCCGCTGATGGCGCACGTGGGGCTGAACTTGACGCCAGCGCTGGGGCGGGGCGGGGGGCGGGGAGGCATTGCCCTCACTGCTGCAGCTCCTTCATTCTGTTGAGGGCACTGCCGGCGCGGAACCACTCGATCTGCGTCTCGTTGAAGGTGTGGTTCAGGAGGATGGTCTCCTGGGTCCCGTTGGGGTGCTTGATGATGCACTTCAGGGGCTGCAAGGAGAAGGTGGGTGTGGGTGGAAGTGGTGGGTACTACGTGCCCTTGGTCCTGCAGGGGCGTCAGGGAGGCCGGGCACTGCCTGGGGACCTAGGAGGTCAGCAGGCAAACCAAATCCTAGGCCAGTCTGTGCCTCATGGCCCAGGTTAGACCCAGATGGCATCTACAGGGGATTCATGGGGCCCAGAGGGTCCTGCAGTGGTTGGGCTGTCCCCTGAGTGTCAAGTCCTGGTGAGTAAAGGGAGGTTGAGGAGGTGGGAGGGCCCTGGGCTGACCCCAACCCCCAACTCTGGGAAGGTGCTTCCCTTTCTCTGTGGGGCCACCTGGAGAACTGGGGGTCTTTCCGGCTGGAATGAAGCCTCCTGGGAGAAGCTACCCTGGGGCCAGTGCAGGAGGGGAAGCAAGGTGGCTGCCCCTCACCCCACCCCCTCAGAGGGATCCGGCCTCCTAACCTTGCCAGGGGTGAAGTCCTTTAGGCCTTGAATGGTCAGCTTGTCCACAGGGTGAATCTTGTTGTAGTCGGCTGGGTCCGCGAAGGTCAGGGGCAGCAGGCCCTGTTTCTTCAGGTTGGTCTCTGGAAGGCAGGTGGCATTCGGTCATCAGGGGGCCTGACCAGCCTGGAGAGCTTCATTTTCTGAACCCATCTGGGGCTCTGGGAGTTGCCCCAATCCTGCTGCCTGGGACAATGCCCGGGCATTGACTACAGGGCCCTGGTCTGCTCCCTTTCACTAGGGGCGCCCCAAGCAAGTGTGCGCTGGTGCTGAGGTCTGCGAGGCCTTCCTGCTGCACATTCATGATCAAAAAGAACCCTCTGGCACGTGCCCTGGATCTCAGCGGCTCAGATCTACAAGCCTGGAAGCAGGGCCTGCGGGAAGCCAGGAAGCTGAGCGTCAGATGTGCATTGTATGAGCCTAAGAAGGGGCGAGAGGCTGACGGGCCTGTGGGCTGCAGTGGAGATAGCCTAGAATCAGGCCCAACTCAGCCACGGGCAGGGCGAGTGACCTTGGTCACTAGGGATGGGATGAAGATGGCCCGGGTGCAGACTCCAGCTCACCGTGGATCCTGGCAAAGCTCTTGGTGATGATGGCCCGGGCCCCAAGGTGGCGAGGCTCCAGAGCTGCATGCTCCCGGCTCGAGCCCTCGCCGTAGTTCTCGTCTCCGATCACCACCCACCTGATGCCATGTTTCTGTCAGGCAAGCGGGGGTGAGATTACAAGGCAGTCCCCACCTGCCTGGCCTCACCCACCTGGCGCCTGGGCATCCTGAGGCTCCCGGTAAAGGGGCTGGAGGGGCCCTTCCTCACCTGCTGCCTAAGGGCAAGTGAAGCCTGGGTGAATGAGACCCAAACGAGGCCCCGAGGGGACGGAGGCGCCTGGCTGTCTGCAGTGGCACAGAAGACAGAACCCACCCGTTGGTGCTTGGCAGGGAGGCAGGTGTGTGGGGAGGGAGGTGGGGGTGAGACAGGGACGGCCTCCGGGGCCCCACCCAAGATGCATCTGTGAAGCTCAAGGTGCCCCCTTCCTGGGAGCACCTTCTGCTCCATCCAGCCACCAGGGGGTGCCAGAGTCCCCTCACCCAGCTGGGCCAGGACTTGTTCCGTCCGTTTCTCAAAGCAGAACAAGTCCAGTCACCTCAGACCCTGGCACTGGCCTCAGACCTCTCTGCCTGCTCACTGGGAGGCCCCATGTAGCCCACTCTCTGAGCCTGTTGGCCTCTGACTTCCCGAGCCGGCCCCCTTCCTCGTCTTGGTCTAGGGCCAGATATCTCCTGAGCGCTGCTCTCACTAACTCCTCCTGGTGCAGGGACTCGGCTGTACCACCGGACCTGGGCCTCATGCCCTCTCAGCCAGAGAGAGGGGCCGCAGGCCTCTCCTTCCTTCCACAGCAGTCCCCTCTGGGCTCAGCCGGCCTCCTTCCTAGTTTCCATTCCCCTAATGTCCTGCCTGCACCTGCCTTCCGGGCCCCTTCAGGAGTGGCGACTGGCACTGCCCGCCCCCATCAACTCTGACCCACCTTGTAGTAGCGGGCAGTGTCAGGGACGGGGCCAAACTCCTGAGTGACGGCATTGCGCACGGAGTTGGCCTTGCCATTTTCAATGTTGATGGCACCAATGAGCAGGTTGTTGGAGATGTTGTCCAAGTGCCCACGGAACTTGAGCCAGGGGCCAGCAGCCGAGATGTGGTCAGTGGTACACTTCCCTTTGACCTTGGGTGTTGAGTAGAGAGGACAGAGGTCAAGGCATGGCCCTGGAGGGGTGGACGACAAGCCCTCCAGAGGCAGGCAGCAGGCTCTGGGGCCCAGGACGGGTGACAGAGGAGAGAGAGGCAGGCAAGGTTTTAGATACGTGTTCTGTGGTCCTGGTGCTTCCACCCTCAGGCCACATGGGCTCCGGCCAGCCCATCACTCATCCTCTCAAAGGCCTCTGGCTGCTCAGTCTCCCTTATGGGGCAGGTCACCCAAAGTGGGGACAGGTCAATGTTCGCTCACCCTTCAGGCCTTGGCTGCAAGATCAGCCACCGACCTCATGCCGGACACAGGTGCCCGGGACATGCCTGGGTCCTGGTTGATGACTGATTAGTCTTTTCTGTCATAGGGGTGCCTGGAGACCCCTTAATAAACAGCATAAATTAATATCTGACACAGATTGGAGGCCTCTGGCCACACCAAAAAGGCTTGTTTTTGGTTGGTGCCAAACACAGGCCATCCCATATCCACGGGTGTGCAACTGTGGGGGCAGGAGTCATCCATAGCTTCCAGAGCCTGTGTGGACATGCCAGGTGTGGAGCCTGCTGTGCAATCACACACACCGTCCCAGCCCAGCCTAAGCTGTACTTACCTGTCCACACCCGCTGGAGGTGGCTCTGATCAGCGGCTGCCGGATGGCTGAGGGCCCCAGATGGAGGCTGGCCAGATCTAGCTCTGCCCAGTTCAGGGCCACAGAGAAGGGGAACGCTGGACTGCGATACCCTCTCTGCTCTGCGGCCAAACCTCCCTTTCATCTCCCACCTGCGACTGGACTGTTTGCTCACTTCCTCCAGGTTCATGGCCCTTCCCGATGCTCAGGGGACGGGGGGCCCTGGCAGGGTGGGGCTGTCATGCCATCCCCGTGCTGCTGACCTTGATGAGGATCTGCAGGTCCTCCAGGTCCTTGCCATCCCACTTGTCAAAAGGCTCCAGGAGCTGCAGGCGCTGGCTGGTGGGGCTCACGTCCACGTGCTGCCCGCTGCTGTCCTTGGGGGGGTGCTGGTAGGTGTCCTGCCCTGGGTCAAACTCCTGCAGCAGGGGATGGGGATGTGTGGGGTGCTGAGTCCTCAGTTCCCACAAGGACGGACTCTCAGAAGGCAAGTTTCCCCGGGCCCCACCTCCCTTCCCAGGGAACAGAGCTGCCCCCTTCTCACTAGCAGCGCCCTCCCTGCCTGCACAGGAGGTGCTGTGAGGTTGAGAAGG